CACCTCCTTTCTGGAACAACCAGACTACTCTTTCCATTTGCTTCCTGGACTGCACTGATTGGGGTCAGGCAATGGGTTTCTCTTTAGCATCTTCCTCAATTTAAGGTGAGGACACACTTTTATCTGACTTCCAGAAACATTCAGACTGCAGATGAAGTTGCTTTGTTATCCATAATAGTGATAATAAGTCATGGTGATAATAAGATATCATCATCACCATCACCGTCCTATCTTTGGATCTGCTGTGCTAGGAACTTCTACTACTTGGCAGAAAGGAACCTCTGAAGCCCTGAGAGTAACCTGTCCTGAGTTCTGCCTCCTGGCTGCGCTGAGATTGGAAGCAGGCTTCACAGCCAACACCCTCAGCTGTGGGTGCAGCCACACTGACTCCAGAGCTCCATTAGCACCACCCACTCTCCATCAGCCCTGAACACTCACTGTTAGTGAAGGGGGTGGTGAAGGGAAGCTGGATACAGTGGTCTTTTAGCTGGGCATCTTAAGTCCTCTTAGAAAGAAAGCAGGGAGGTAATTGGGAGTTAGGACTCCTTGGATATTCAGAACATGACTTTGGTTTGCACTATCATCATTATGACCCTGCCTTCCCCACAGGAGGCCTGCATGAGCTGGGACCACGGCCCCACAGTCCCTCTGGGGACCATGGTATTACAACGTGTATCTGGAGGGAATAAGGGGAGAGGAATAAGGCATAAGGGGAGAGAGGTTGGGTCTTTTATGAAGGCAAGAAAAATCTCAGTCTTGTAATTCATTCCAAAACTGTGGCCTGAGTTCTTTGTCGTGACTCATGTGATGCCTCCGGAAGCTCAGGTAGGACTAGGGGTGTGGGAAAGACAGTTTCCATTCATTAGAACTCCTGGGGGGACCCACTCTCTCTCTAAACTCCCCCAGTGACATGGATCCTCTAAGATATTTCCTCGAAGGAAATTCTCCAGTATGTCCTTGTCAAGAGAATACAGTCCACATCACTTGAGAGAACATTTAACGAGCCAAGTTCAGTTTTGGAACCCACCAGATGCATCAAGGAAACTCCGTTCTCAGGCCCCCTGGAGAGTCTTTCCAAGTAGACTGTAAAGCAGAGCCAGTGTGGTTCATCAGCTGGAGACATGGCTGCACCTGACTGTGTTCTTCCCTCTGCAGGTCCCAGACCCCACGTCCCTGCCGTGTCACCTCCAGGACACGCAGCGCTCCATGCATGCCTTTCCAGGTTGTCACAGAGTTGGGTCCAGGGACTGTGCCAAAGGTGGAACCGGAAAAGACAGGAGTTCCAGCCCGGTCATCACTGAGCCCGGCGGGGAGGAAAATGCCACAAGAGCAACTCAGACCCCAGGCACATGCTCATCATCCCCTTCCCGCCCCCGGTCTCCTCAACATGGACGCAGACTGCAAACGTGACGGGAAAGGCTTCCTGTAGTCCCTTGGTGCCCTGGTGTCTGTGGCTCCACCTCCATTAGCAGGCGGCTCATCAGAAGGGGCTCCCATGGTCACAAGAGTGAAAATGAGAGAAAAACTACTCATCTCTTCCTAGAAACATAGGCTGGCTTCTCTGCCTGGCTGTTCTCTCCACATGCAGGGAGCCGGCCAGGGGACACTGCGGGTGGATGCATTCCCTGAGGGAATACCACCCTTTGGCCTAGGTCATTCATTCACTGATTCTATAAGAATACTGAGCATCTTCTGCACACCAGGCACTATCCAGGCAAGGCAGTGTGGCAGGGAGCCGGGCAGACTAAGGCCGGGCCCTCGCAGAGCTCACATCCAACAGCAAAGTCGAGTGTCGCCGGTGCCAGGGAGGGGCAGTGCTCTGGGAGGTCATTCCCTTGGCTAGGAGCTGTGAGCAGGGCACACGTAGGGACCTCAAGGCCTGTCTGTGCACACAGTGTCGCCATCTTTACCACCAGAGAGAAGTGAGTCTGATGTATGATTCCAAACAGTAGTTCTCCTAGACAGATTTAATGAGCAGGGTTCAGAGTGCTGACCACCAAAACGGTTAAATCCTCCTATGTTCATGATGCAGAAATGTGGTGCATTCTAATCAGCCCCTGACTTTCACTATGGGGCCAGTGGGAGCCAAGGGATTAAGTATGAAATGAAAAGACCTGGTGTTATTTTTATTACAACATCTCTAGGGATGACAGATCAATTTCATCTCACCAGCTTCCAGCAATTGGTACTGAATCCCAGACATCCTGTGTCAAGAAATGAGATGCAGATTTTTTTGTGAGAGTGTCACTGAGGCCTGCCCTGGGCCCAGGAGGAAGGGCAGCCCGTGTGTACGGTGTGTGCCCTGGTCCAGGTCTAGACAGACAGTCCCAACCCTGATGCTAAACCCCCTGCAGATCTCAAAGCACTAGCAGACTTGTCAAAAAAAAATCTGTCTATACAATTAACTAAAGTGTGTTGATTAAACAGTACACATCACACAAGCCTGCAGGGAAAGGAAGAGATAGGATGGTGTCAGGTGCTAAAAATATCCCACAGACCCTCCTAATACATCACCATTTTCCAAAGGGTGGAGCCCCGAGCTGATTAGCAACAGGAAGGGGAGTTGGGGTCGCACGTGTGCATGTTCCATTTCTAGAATCCAGAAGTCAGTTTCCTTGTTTGGGGGAAAGAGTGTTTAAAACAGATAAATCACAAGGAAAAAAGGAAAGAGTTCGATTAATGCTGTCAAGATTACAAGGCTCACAGAATTAACACTACAGCGCTTTGATGTGGAGATGTTCCACGTGCTTTGGGCAGCCTGTCTGCAGTTTCTGACTGGTGCCACCATCACTGTCATCACCATTGTCACCATCACTGTCACCACCATCAACCCCATCACCATTAACAGCATCACCCCACCACAGTCACCACCACCATGGTCATCCCACCACTGCCATCATCATTATCACCACCACCACCATCATGAGCGCCCTCATTACCACTATGGTGACCACAGTCAACAAGCAGCCCAGAGTAACTGCGAGCTACCAGAGCCGAGCCAGGTTGGTGGGGGCAGAAACTGGCAAGGGTTGGGGGGGCGGGGAGCCTCCCAAGCGGCGCCATCCTCTCTGGGTCCTCTATACACAGTTACAGGTAACCAGGAGTCCAGTATTTTATGCACCAGCTGTAGCGTCACCTCTGTCCCCGAGTTCTACCCAGGGCCTGACCTCAAGAGTCAATTACAGCTGTTTTCATTGTGCTCATCGGCTTCCAGCATCCACCCGGCCCCACTTTCAACAAAGGGTGGATTCCCATGAACTCGCGTCTTTATTGCCAGCTGGTTCCGATTAGAGATGAACCAGTAAGATGAGGGGTAATACAGTCGCAGCGTGTTCCTAAATGTAGCACTTTTCCATGTGTTTTGATTTACCGGGTGACCAATAAAACCCAGGCCTTCAACAAGGTGGATTCCATACCTCACATGTTTTGCTTATTTTGGTAAATGCAGCTTTTCAGAGATTGAAAAAAGATGCGGGGGTGATGACTTAGGTTGATAATATCTCTTGGAGTGTGTGTGTGTGTGTGTGTATAACAGCTTGGATAAGTGTGGGAGTGTGTGTGTGAGTATGTGAGTCCTTGTGTGTGAGTGTGCATGATGGACTAGTCAGAAGCTGGGTCTGTCTGGCAGGGTATTAGGCATTGATTTCAGAACATCTAATATTTCTATGCAATATTGTTAGCACCCTTGGTGACATGGACTATGAATCTAAGAAATAAATAACAGGGATGTTTCCTCCCTCATTTTGTTAACAGGGCTCTTTCTTCCAAAACATCTACCTTTTGCCTGCTTGTCAGCCCCCTCTGAAGGCAGCTGTGATTCAGCAATTCTCCTCACCCCCGTGCTGGATGGAATTGTGGACTGTGGGGGCAGCGTGATTTTATCTGAAGCAGAGAAAGCCCCACATAGTAGTTTCTGGCCTGGGAGATGCTCTGTAGGGCTGCAGTTGGAATGAAGGACAGTGTCTTAAACACAGAGATGGCTTGGGGAAATGAGCACCAGGATGGTTTGGGTACCACTCACAAGACCCTCCCTCAGTCTAGAACAGGAGCCAGTGATGGGAGGGAAGTCCTAACCCACACTGTTCCGAGAGGCCCTCACTCCCTACACCTGCGCTTTGCTCCCCGGGGGCAGCCTGTGTGTCGAGACGACACTGTTCATGAAGACCCTGCAACCCAGCATGGCACGCAGTGGTGCTCCATATATGTCTGAGCACCAGATGTAGGATCAGAGAGGGTGAGGGAGAGATTATCTGAGGGGGGTGGATTTGAGTCTAGTACTGTGGATTCTGTTCAGAAGGAGGGAGAAAAGAGGTTTTAAATGAGACCTGGGACCTGAATGTTGGGATCACAAAACCAGAAGGGGACTTAGAGACTACCCAGCCTGGTCTCCTGCAATGCATGGAACACTGTGCCTTTAAGAATGGGAGCATTTTACACTATAACCTACCATTTCTTTCATTCAGAAACAAAACTACAATGACAAATCCCTGCCCTCATGGGGTTTACACTCCAGGTGGGAAAACAGAAAATCAACAGGTAAACAAGCAGGAAAAGCAGGTGATGAAACAGAGTGCCACACGGGGCGATCGGGGAAGGTGTCTCCAGAAGTTTCTGACGAAGTCAAACCTCAGGGAGGAGGCAGAATGAGCGTTCCGGCATCAGTGAGGGCACTCATGATGCACAGGTGCACCCAGGTGGGCGCCACTACCCAGGGAATGGGGAGCACTCAACGTGTCAGCCCCAAGAGTCGGCTTATCTGAAATCTGCACCCCAAAGTATGCTTGGGCCTCTAGGTGTGAAAATAGTCATGGCCATGGAAGACGTGGGTCTTTGACCAAAGACCCACCGTTATCCATTAAAACTTAATAATGCAGGTTTTTTTTTTTCCCCCCTCTATTTCCCTTGAACTTAGCAAGTTTTTCTGGCATTCAAAGAAGGAAAAACAATCCAGGACAAATATTCTTTACTTGTATCTTTGCAAAAGAATGTGCAGAGGAAATGTCTAGTTGCTTCCTCTTCCGGGGGTCACCACAGAAGCTGAAGTCCATCTCTCATCCGATCACAGCGTCCCTAGTTCGTGGGGCTGCATTGTCACTCTCAGGAGGAGAGTGGAAATAAGGTCAGTCTTCCCATTGGGCCAACCTGTGTGAAGAGGGCACTTTATTGTTTTCAAGTAGTTCAAAGGTGGTGGAAAAAAATCCCTATAAAAACAGGCAGGAGTTTATTAAAACCCTAATGAGCATAAAGTTGCAGACACAGCGATTCAGTAATGGGCATGGGTTCCTGAGTTAATGTTTTTCCGTTCCCATATAGAGAGATGTTGCCGGGTGAAAGCACCAAGCTAACAGAGCCAGCCCAAGTTCTTCTGTGCAAGCCCTACCTTACTCTCCCCACCAAAGGGGACCACAATCTGGAGGAGGTCTCTGTGTTATGTCTACCGTAGGAGTGCTTCAGTTTCCACCAACACTAGTAGGATCATCTTTACACAAAGAGCTGGGGGTGGGGCTGGTCAGCTTCCTGCTTGGTAGCCAATATTTAACACCAGCCTGCTATGGACAGGCTGGAGAAGATTCTGCCTAGAGAGGTTCATGCTAGGGGAGCAGGAAACCATCTCTGGGGAAGGTGGCACCTTGTTGGTGCCTTGTCACTGGTACTGTTCTACTTTTTAATTACAAATGTTGAGCTATTTCAAATCCTAAAAGATGATGCTGTGAAAGTGCTGCACTCGGTATGTCAGCAAATTTGGAAAACTCAGCAGTGGTCACAGGACTAGAAAAGGTCAGTTTTCATTCCAACCCCAAAGAAAAGAAATGCCAAAGAATGTTCAAACTACCCCACAATTGCACTCATCTCACATGCTAGCAAAGTAATGTTCAAGATTCTCCAAGCTAGGCTTCAACAGTATGTGAACTAAGAACTTCCAGATGTTCAAGTTGGATTTAGAAAAGGCAGAAGAAGGAACCAGAAGTTCCTAACCAGGAATGACTTTTCTGGTTAAAAGAGGAACCAGAGACCAAATTGCCAGCATCCACTGGATCATAGATAAAGCAAGAAAATTCCATAAAAACATCTTCTGCTTCACTGACTACGCTAAAGACTCTGACTGTGTGGATTACAACAAACTGTGGAAAATTCTTAAAGAGATGGGAATACCAGACCACCTTACCTGCCTCCCGAGTAACCTGTATGCAGGTCAAGAAGCAAGTTATAAACAGACGTGGAACAGTGGACTGGTTCCAAAATGGGAAAGGAGTATGTCAAGGCTGTATATTTCCACCCTGTTTATTTAACTTACAAGAAGAGTACACCATATGAAATGCCGGGCTGGATGAAGCACAAGCTGGAATCAAGATTGCTGGAAGACACATCAATAACCTCAGCTATGCAGATGATACCACCCTTATGGAAGAAAGCGAAGAAGAACTAAAGAGCCTCTTGATGAAAGTGAAAGAGAGTGAAAAAGCTGGCTTAAAACTCAACATTCAAAAAATGAACATCATGGCATCTAGTCCCATCACTTCATGGCAAATAGATGGGGAAACAATGGAAACAGTGACAGACTTTATTTTCTTGGGCTCCAAAATCACTGCAGATGGTGACTGCAGCCATGAAATTAAAAGACACTTGCTCCTTGGAAGAAAAGCTTTGACAAACCTAGATAGCATATTAAAAAGCAGAGACATTACTTTGTCAACAAAGGTCCATCAAAACTATGGTTTTCCAGTAGTCATATACAGATGTGAGAGTTGGACCATAAAGAAAGCTGAGTGCCAAAGGATTGATGCTTTTGAACTGTGGTGTTGGAGAAGACTCTTGAGAGTCCCTTGGACTGCAAGGAGATCAAACCAATCAATCCTAAAGGAACTCAATCCTGAATTGGAAGGACTGATGCTGAAACTGAAGTTCCAATATTTTGGCCACCTGATGCAAAGAGCTGACTCGTTAGAAAAGCTCCTGATGCTGGGAAAAACTGAAGGCAGGAGGAGAAAGGGAGGACAGAAGATGAGATGGTTGAGTGGTATCACTGACTCAACAGACATGAGTTTGAGCAAGCTCCAGGAGTTGGTAAAGAACAGAGAAGCCTGGCATGCTGCAGTCCACGGGGTTGCAAAGAGTTGGACATGACAGAGAGACTGAACAACAACAAAAGTTTCCTTTTGAAAAGCTTAGAAAATACAGATGAGCAAGAAGATCAGAAACCACTAAAATGACAGTGACCATATACTTCATAACTGGGGAATTGCGAACAATGACACTGGGGGAAACCAGGCACAAACTAGGGACCTGCAGGCAGCCTACTTCTAATGCTGCTCCCAGGGGTGACCCCTGCTAACATTCTGGAGTATGTGCTTCTGAAGCCCTGGCAATGGTGGGTCAAGAAGAAGCATTCTGCCAATTTGTGAGTTCTTGAGAACTATCCAGTCAAGCAACTGCCTTTATGTCGCCTTCCTCACAGTACTAGTACAGAGAATATTCAGAAAGGAGTCAAGTGCGTGGGTATATTAAGTGTGTGGACATGTATGCCTGTGCCTTACTGGGGTGATAGCCAAAAAAACTGCAATATACTCACATTTCAGATCTATGCTCAGTAGTCGAGCTTGCATCCCACTGGATGACCACTGTCTAATACCAACCAGAAGATGGGTTCCTGACACTTGCCGACATTGCTTTCATCATATGAGGTTTGTAACTACCAATAATAATGATGATGATGATGGTGATGATGGTGATAATGTTTCAATGGTGATGATGGTGATAATGTTTCGATGGTGATGATGGCGATAATGTTTCGATGGTTATGATGGTGGGGATGATGGTGAAGATGGTGACAGTGATGGTGATGAGGTGATAGTGATGATGACTATGGTGATGATGGTGATAGTGAATGTTGATTGTGGTGATGATGGTGGGGTTGATGGTGACGATGATGATGGTAATGATGGCGATAGTGATGGTGATGATAATGATGGTGATGGTGGTAATGATGGTAGTGATGATGATGATGGTAATGATGGCGATAGTGATGGTGATGATAATGATATGATGATGGTGGTGGTGATGGTGATGACTAACATTTATATGGATGGATGTCACAGGTGCCACACCCTGGTCTGAGCCTTCTGCATACATTAACCTTTTTAGTTCTCATAATTATGCTGTGAATGAGGAATTATAATTACCTCCATTTCACAGATGAGGAAATTAAGACCTAAAGAATGAAGTCCCTTGTTCAATCTCAAGAGTGACATTTTAGAAAAACTCATTGAGAGCAGTGGTACAGAGGAGTTAAAAGAGTTTTGTTTCTTTGGATGCAGTAAATATAACTATAAAAACTTGCTTTTTAGCTCATTTGGAAACTGAAGGTTAGCAGGGTCTCTTTGCTCTTTATTTTCTTTCTTCCCTTTTTAGGTATTTATTTTTAAACATATGAGCCTCTGTTTCACTGACAGTCTGTGAAAAATATTTGTCCCTTTCGAGGTGTTTATTCACCCTGGAAAGCTGGCTGCTATCCAAATGCTTTGTTTTCCAGCTATCAGTGTAAACTAAGGATTCACATTCTCAGGACAGTTAGGCATTGTTCACTTGTTGAAAACACTTTAAACCTCATGCTGTTTACTTCATTGCTTTTACCTTGTTTATTGTACCAAAAAACAGCACAAACACAAAATGGAAAACAGACAAGACAGACGGAATGTGTTTAGAATATTTCATAGGTCCTCGACAGCGTCCACTGATGTGGAAGCGAACGGGAGACAGTGAGGAAAAGACCCACTGCAGTCAGCACAGAGCACAGGGCATCTGAGAAATCGGGGTGTCACTGGGGGATGCAGGTGTCCACTTGGAGCAGCAGCCACGAGTCTTGACTAGATCCTTCTCAAACCTTCACGGTCCTTCCAGGCTGGGGGGGGGGGGGGGCATGCAAAGTGTCCAGGGTAAAACTAGGGGGAAAGCTGAAAGCCAGTGACCAGAGGAACTTCCGTCTCTGGCAGGGAATGAGCAGACAATAACTCAACAGTTACACATCGTGAGGAACATTCTATGATGGGCAACGGCAGAGACCACTCTGTTGTATTAGTATTTTCTTTTTCCGAGCGACAAGAGGGATTTGTATGTTCCTCTCTCCCCCTGCCATGTTGGTTGAGTCCAGGTGGCTAGTTCTGGCCAGTGGACCATAAGCAGTGATCTCTGTCACTCTGGGTCAGGACTGAGTTCCCGACACTACTGGCTGAGCCCAGGGTGCAGCCACCATCCTCCTGGGGCCCTAACTAGCAATCTAGACAGGGCCCCAAGGAACTTCTCTGAATGCCAGTGACAGGTAAACCTTCATTGTGTGACATCACCAAGGTTCTGGGGTTAAGATGTCACTGACCCATCTTGCTGATACAGAGGGGAGACCCCTCAGTGCCCTGGGGTGTGGGAGAGCCCTGCTGATACAGAGGGGAAACCCTGCATTGCCCTGGGACATAGGGGAGTTCTGCTGAAACAGAGGGGAGACCCCTCAGTGCCCTGGGGCTTGGGGGAGTCCTGCTGATACAGAGGGGTGACCCTGCAGTGCCCTGGGGTGTGGGGGAGGGTGGTGGGCAGAGATGGGGGTCAGTAGGCCGTCCTCGAGCGCCTGAGGAGTAAACTGAGCCCAGAAGGAGCTGGGTGACAAATGGAGGGAGAGCATCCTGGCAGAGGGAGCAGCCTGCAGAAACGCCAACAGGAGAGAACTTGGTGCATCCAGGGAGACGCAGACGGTCCAGCAGGAAGGGCGAGGAGGCGCAGGTGTGGCTCACGGTCGGTGGGGGTGCCCTGCGACCTCAAAGACCATCCTGAGGTCATGGTCTTGGCTCAGGCTGCCAGGACCAAGGACTGCAGACTGAGGGCATCTCACAGTTCTGGAGGTTGGGTCAACCTGGGGAGGTCTCTCGTCCTGGTTGACAGACAGTGGCCTCCCCTCTGTGTCCTCTTCCTCTTCTCTCAGGTCACTGATCCCATTATGAGGGCCTCGCCCTCTTATTGTGGAATTACTGGCAAATCCCAGCACCGTGGGGGTCAAGGCTTCAACAGATGGAGGTGCATGGGACAGGGCGAGGGCGGGGAGGGTGACACAATTGCAGGGCGCTGTAAAGACGGCAAGGGTCATGAAGACACTCTGG